TTAGAATGATTGTTTAATAAATCGACCCATGCAACGAAGACTATTGTAACTCAGTTTTGATTGTAGACTAGAGTAACTCAACTTAATATAGTTTTTTCCTGTAGGAATGTGGATTATTACACTTACTATACAGGGAAGTTGTTCAGTGGTTGCCTATCGTTTCATGTCTGAGTTACTGTAATCTTCCACCAAATAGAGCTTGAAAAAATCTGTTGATGCCATATAGTAAGTCAAAACCCACGTTTTTTGAGTTACTATAGTCTTCGTTGCATGGGTCGAAATGTATACTATACATTTAACCTTAAATTAAAACTTTAAACGTGTATTACAACAAAACAGTAAAAGATATAAAAAATGTATAGACCTTTTTTTAGGAAATTAACTAATCTTTAATCTGATTTAAAAAGTTATGATAATATTTAAATAAAATCGCAAGTTTTAATTGGAGAATTGAAAGTGTGCATACATATTTTTAATAAACATCCAATTAAAACAAAATTAACCGTCAATTTTTTTTTATTTTGCTCTTAAAATTTTAGTTATGACCTAATTAACAAAAATATAAAAAAAAATTAGGTTTCACAGAAAGTCCAAAAATCACCTCTCAGAACAGCACCGTGCAATTGGAAGTCAAAAGTTGAAAAAGTTTTTTCCCATTGTTTTTGTAATTTAAGTAAAAAATTAAAAAATGAAATGCACTTTCTTTTGTATTAGAATGAAATTAGAAATCACATTCTACAATTTTTACATGTTTTCCATGATTTTGGACCAAAAAAAAAAGAATTTCCCGTTGGAACTACCCCATTTGATTAAATATTTATTTAAAAAACAAGTGGGCCACCTCAAGATGTTGAGTAAAAATTTTTTTTTTCTATTAAGAAATTTTCTTTTTTTATAAGGTACAAATTCTACCCCCATGCTAAGAAAAAAAAACAAACATTTTGTTTTCAACCCACCCTAATATATATATGGCGGGTTGTTTTAAACAATTTGTAACTAAAATTACTGATAAAAATGGCACTCACTAACTTAAAAAAAACATTGACAACCCAAAAATGTTTAAAATTCAAAAGTACTACACAAGCTAGCCGGCCCGAATACGTTTTGCCGAATCGTATTGTATTTATTCCGGCGTGTAGACCGGGCATGTCCGTTGTAAGAAAAACAATCAAATTAAGACAAGGCAAGTCCAAAACTTAGCTGTTAATCAGTCATTAAATTGATTTATTGCGAAATTTTGCTAAATAAGTAATAATCCAAAAGATATTTTTCTTTAAGTCATTTATTTTACTTTTTGTGACAATTGTCTACATTTATAGGAAGATATCTTATTTTAATTAAAATTAGGTATCTTTTTACAAATTCAAAAATAAAATTAATGATAAATTAATTTATAAACGTGATCTTAAGATCAACGTGTTAACTCGTTGATAATAAGATCAATTTCAATTTGCAATTCCAAATAAAATTATGTATACTTTTTATACAAATGTAGTCTACAAATTTAGTCTTTACAAATCCAGTCTTTTCACAAATTAACCATATGGTGTATGTCAATTTTTTTGAAAATTTTAGTTATAATATGAAGAAAAATCAAAATTTTCGCAAGATGTAGTGTAGATTTAGTATTACATCTACAATTTTGCGATGACTATTCCGGGAAAGTCAAAAGTTTGCAATCATTTCGTGCCCTTATATACCAATCACGTGCGTGTATTCCCATTAATCATAAAATGAATATATCGCAGCGACGTGAAGGCGATGTGCGTTTTGATGCCCCTCACGTTTGTTATCTGGGTTGTTAAAGAATTGACATGAAATAACATATCTGCAAACGACAATGTTAAAGGCTATTATTGATTGCCGCGCATATGCATTACATTTATAAATTCTACATAAAATTCTGACTAAAATGACTAAACCATATCGTATACGATATATATACCTAAAGTGAATAGTTTTCGAGTTATTAATTTTTTTCGTTGACAAATATTTGTCAAACGGGTGCGACACTGACACTGCGTTTTTTCATGATAATAAAGTCCCAGTAAGCACCAAACATTCGGCAAACAGTCGGCCTTTGCTCGGCATAGGCGGTTGACCGGCGGTTCGGCTTTCCCCCAGTCGTTCCGCTTATGGCCCGCGTGAAGTTAGCTCAGTACCGTTTGGCCATGTTCTAACCAAAGTCGGCCAGAATACGGCATGCCGCTGCAAAATCGTTCGGCTTGCACTAGCCGTCCCGCTTACGGCATAAGCAATACATCTCACGGCTGTTTACGCAACCGAGCTAACTATAAATAGCGATGGGTGCGTCTGTAATGGCATAGCTGAACATTAATTGTTTGAAGCAGAGACAAGGGTCCTTGTCTCTGGTTTGAAGTCCCCATCTTCATCCTCATCTGCTCAGTAACGAATAATGGCTAGCTATAGCTATAGTCAAGTGTCTTAAACCTATAGGATATACCTATCCAACGTCTGAAGGCAAAACGTATTCGGGCCGTATGCGGGCCGGCTAGCTTGTGCTTACTGGGGAGTTGGTTCTTATGCATCAAGATACGTTAATATATTAACGTATCTTGATGCATAAGAACCAACTCCCCACAAAAATAGTCTAAGAAATTAGATATTTAACTCAAACAAAATGTCAATTAAAACTTGTATAGAAAGCCTTTTATACTAGTGGTGGGTCGCACATGTGCGAGTCGTAAATAATGTACGACCGTTGAGTGAAGAATTCCTTAGTCAATGGTACGACACTTTTGTGTGTGCGGAGCAGGTACGACATTTTTGAAATGTGCTACCAGCACAGCACCCGGAGATAAAAAAGGCACCTATATCATATGTGGCACGGTGCGCTGAAACAGCACTGCTCTTTATCTAATCTATGGCTCTTTAGTAAAGAATCTTTACGTCTGTAGCTTTGACTCTATAATTCAGCACAGAACACATAGATGGCACTACAATAAGTTACAAGTTGTAGAGAAATTATTTTATATAATTAACAGTTTGTATATCTTGGAAAATATCCAATCCATAATGTATCGTAATGTCCATAGATGGCAACAAAGTCTATATTATAATTATATTAAAATAAAATTGCCACTTATCAAAAAAGGGTTTAAGTTAAAATTGTATTTATTGACTTTAATAATAAACATAAAAAAAACATAAAACTGGATTTTACATCAATTAAAAATCCAAAACCGACAGTTGGATACGACACGCACAGTGTGCTGAGCTGGGTTGGACCCATCACTTATAAAATTTATACGTCATGAATCGAGTAACGGGCGCGACTTTAGAAAATCGGCAAATGCGACCGTATTTTAAATGCACAAATATTGTATACCTATAGGTATTTTTTATTTTCTAAAATTTTCTTAAAATGTAAAGGGTGCGACATTTAAACTTTGTATCGAGTATTGAAACTCTTCCGTGTTTATTCCTAATGCTAGCTTCTTAGCATTACCTACAATGTACGAATAATTTTAAGTTATAAATTACATCGCAATTAAACTGTTTGACTTCAGATATAGTTTTTATTTTGTTAAATAATCTGATTAATCAGAAATTTCTTGTCAAAGTGGGGTAAGGTTTCGCGGAAATACCCTTTGGCAATTTAATAAATATTTTATATACTTAAATTCAGCACTTTTTTATATTTTTAATTAGATATTGCCGCAAAATATATATTTTTTTAAATTTTAGGGCTAAAAAATTAAAATATTTAATGTATTATATTTAAATATAAAATATATATTTTTTTAAATTTTAGGGCTAAAAAATTAAAATATTTAATGTATTATATTTAAATATAAAAGGGGCGCACCAAAGAATGCTGCACGTAGGCGCCAGACACTCCAGGAACGGGCCTGCATGTTCCACTATATCAGAAACTATAAAAATAAGAGAAGCAAGTCCGAGCTTCACTATTGGTCGCGTGGGGTGCAAATTAGCATATAATTTTTTTAAAGAAATACCACAAAAAAATCACAAACGCTGATAACTGTAAAACAAAACTGTCAAACTTTTAAATACATAAAACAAATATGGGGTTTTATAAGCAAGATACAGTTAAATACAAATATGATGGGATTGTGGGCACCCCGAGCGCCTAACTAATGGTTAATAGAATTTTTTTATTGGGCCAAACAGATTTAAAAACTTTACCCAATTGGTCTAAAGTATTTTTACAGCCCATGCGCAAATTGTAATCAATCACTGGGTAGTAAGTGTAGGCAATAATAATTATTTTTAAAGTTTAAATTAAAATTTATTTTGTGGCTCCAGATCAACAAGGCCCACTTTGACATTTGAATAAGGAATTTAGTCAAATATTGAAGTTACGTATCTGGCAGTTTAACGCTATATATGGTATTAAAAAAAAAAAAAAATTGAAATTAGCATTAAACTGACAGATACATAACAGAGGTGATAGTCACTAAATTTACATGCAGCTCCATGGTATTTTAATAGAAACATACAAAAGAAACGTGTCGTTTCGAGGTTATGGCAATGACATTTCGGTTCAGTTTTTTAACACTTCAGTTCAATACACAAAAATAGGCGTTACGCGTCCACTGTTATACGTCCATGAATTTGACGTTTCACTAAATTCAAGTTTAAGATAGCCCAGAGATAGCCATACAAGTAATATTTCTATGAGGATAGCCAAGCTCGATCCGTCCCTGGCTTGTTTTATTGGTTGCGTTTAGATCACCATTTCACTAATTTGACATTTCAGTAAATTCGAGATTTTAGGTTATGTTGTGATACACTTTTTAATGGTCTTACAAAAAATCATGTTTAATCCATTAAAAGATACTTGGAATTTATTTAATGATATGATGTTTTAAAAATATTAATTTTATATATAATTATATATACTAATTTAAAAACCCAAAATGTATACAAATAAAAGAAGGAATAGGTATTAACCTTTTTTAATTTGTTTTTTATGAAAAATAAGCTAAAGTTTATTTTTGTTATTTTAATTGTAGGTCCTACTATGGCCTGAACAGGTCTGAGGCTGAAGTACAAGAGGCTACTCCTGAAGATTTACGTATTGAAATTGACCAAATTTTTAAAGATTTTTTATTGAACCCGGATGTTAGTGAATACATATTTTCCTCCAATCTAAATAATTTACAAAGAAAATATATTCACGAGAAAGCAAAAATGCTTAATATTGTTTCTAAGTCATATGGAAACCCCCCTAATAGGAAATTGCATATTAAGAAGAGACCCAAAAATCACTCATGCCATTCTTTTGGAATTACTCCATGTAATGAGTCAATGGCATTATTAAACCAGTTTATTAATAGTAAAGAGAATATATCAATTCCTCAAAGACCTGAGGTTCCTAAACAATTTCAAGATAAAGTTTATGGTAAAATAACAAATTTACCCCCCACTGTTGTAAACAAACCTAAAATAAGTCAGCAAATTGCAAAATTTAAACAAAAACTTCCAGTAACAGGTATGCGTAAAGAAATATTGGAAATGATTTGTAACAATCAGGTACTAATTATATCCTCCGAAACTGGATCTGGTAAAACCACACAAATCCCTCAGTTTATAATGGAAGAAATGACAGAAAACCAACAACCTTGCAAAATAATTTGTACACAACCACGTAGAATTTCTACAGTTGCTGTGGCTGAAAGAGTGGCAGAAGAACGAGGAGAAACATTGGGAGATGGAGTTGGTTATCACATTAGATTGGAGCAAAAATATGGATTTAGGACTGGGTTAATTTATTGCACCAACGGAATTTTGCTTAGATCCTTGATGGTGGGATGCAAAATTCTGTCAAGTATTACTCACTTGATCATTGATGAAGTTCATGAAAGAGATAGATTGTCTGACTTTCTTCTAATTTGCATTAAGCAAAATTTGGATAAATTTCCAAATTTAAGGATAATTCTTATGTCTGCCACAGTAAACACTACTAAGTTCATGGACTATTTTGAAAACGCAAAAGTATTAACTTTACCAGGTAGACAGTTTACAATCCAAGAATACTTCCTGGACGACATTCTTATAAATCTAAACTATTTGTCCCCTGCCATGGAGTCCCTGAAAGCACGCGGTGGTGTTCCTGAAGTTCCTGTGTCCAGCATCTGCGATTTTCAAAATTTAGCCATGGACCAGGCTTTAGAAGAGATGTGTAGCGGCGATTTTCAACAAGCTAGTGCGCAGGCTTCGCACTACATTTTGGATGAAGGGGTTTCTGTGGATTATCAGCATTCCGCAACCGGTATGACGGCGTTGATGATTGCTGCGGCCCTGGGAGATGCCAACATGATATCTACACTTCTTAACTTGGGTGCAAATCTCAATATTCAATGCAGAAGCGGCAAAAACGCATTGGATTACGCAACAGAAAACAGTAAGGAACGTGCAATATCCATTCTAAACTACTTCAAAATGACCAGCGAATCTACAATCAAAGGTCCCTCCATGGAGCTGTTGAATCTCTACGATAAAACCGTATCTGACGATGATATCGACTATGATCTTGTCACTTACCTAGTAAAAAGCATCCATCAAAACAGCGAAAGTGGAGCTATCCTTATTTTCTTACCTGGCTATGATGATATAATGATGTGCAATGACAGGCTGATGGAGTGTGGCATGGAAAGGTGGACATTTAAAACTTTCTTTCTGCATGGTTCCATGAGTATCAGGGATCAACATGAAGTGTTCAAGACCTTGCCAAACAATCAAAGAAAAATTATATTGTCCACAAATATTGCAGAAACTAGCATCACCATTGATGATGTTGTCTATGTTGTTGATTGTGGAAAAGCCAAGGAAAAGTCTTATGATTCAGTAAGTATTTATTTAGAGACTGCATTAATGATTGTTAACTATAGTTTTTACAATATTTTATTTACCTTTATTCCTTTGTATGACTGTCTTTCCAGTTTAAAATTTGTAATCTATTTTGCAAGCACTTGCTGAATCAGATTGAGCCTAAATTTTGTACAAACTGTTGGTGCTTATGACAAAATACAATTTACATTACCTACTTTTTATTGCAATTTATGGCATTACTGGAAAATAATCAACTACCATTTGGATGTTTTGAGAAAATCTCTTCTAAAGTTTTAGACTTTTGAAAATTAGGCTGTAAATGCTTTTTTTTATTATATCATATATACAGTGTGTTTCATTTTGATTGGTGACAATTCGGTATTTATTTAAAAATAAATTTCACAAACTTGATAATTTCAATTTAAGTTACAACCCCAATTGGAACTCACCAAGGCCCGATTGATAAAAGAAATGGAATTATTTGTTAATGGGTAACGTGGGTACAATGTGCCTACGAATTCTTGAAAACCATTCCTCCAACTAGTGTGAAGTCCGAAAGATATCGTTTTTGTATCACCTTCCAGGAGAGGTTACAGTTCCAGCACCTATATTGTTTTTTAAAAGATTTTTTACTTTTATGTATCTTCATGTTTATTTTATTTATTTACCAGGAACGTAAAACCAAAAATGTATTTCTAATATAAAACGTTAAGTCCTAAAGCATCATTTTAAAGTTTAATAAACTGATTTTTTAGTACAACAAACTGTCTTCCCTTCAAACGATGTGGATTTCAAAAGCTTGCGTCAAACAACGCGCTGGTCGTGCTGGTCGTACCCAACCTGGTATATGTTTTCACTTATTCTCCCAACGGCGTTACTCAAATATGGACCAAGAACGCGTACCGGAAATTCTTAGAGTCTCCTTGGAGGAACTTTGCCTTCACACTAAGATTATTGCTCCAAAGAACATTGATATATTTACATTTTTGGCACAGGTAAGCAATATATTTAAAAAGATAGATTTGTAAAAGGCGCATTCCACGACGCCATGTACGACGCTGGCAATAAACTTTCTAAACGTACTCATGCGTCGAGGCAAGTTGGTTGCTCGCAAGACGAAATAATAGAACTTGTTCTATTTTGCGTAAGAACGCTGCAATTCTAGTCGTTTTTTAGTATTTTATAAATTTAATTTTAATTATTTAAATTACCAACGTTTTAAAATATGATATTCTGACGTTAAACCTTGTATAATTTTGTTTTGTTAACTTAATTTTAATGTTAACTTATTCACATGTTTGCTTATCTTACGCAAGACTTGCATCATGTAAACGTTTTTTGGTATTTAATAAATTTAATTTTAATGATTTAAATTACCAATGTTTTAAAATATGAATCATATTATATGATATTCTGACTGAAACCATGTATAATTTTGTTTTGTTAACTTAATTTTAATGTTTTAACTTATTCACATGTTTGCTTATCTCACGCAAGACTTGCATCGTGTAAACGTTTGGTCTTTGCAAATGTCTTGCATTGCGGCAATGCCATTGCCGTGTAAAGCGGGTTTTTATTTTACCTGCTGTCATTAAAACATTATTTTACCAAAATTTTAGTGCATATTTTTTTTTCTGCATGACCTTAGAGCCATTTTTGGTATTTGCTTTGAATATATGTACTAAATTGTTTATTATACAGTTTACCTTCAAAAACGTGTAATACGTAAATATTTTAGGCTCCTGATCCGCCCTCTGCAAATTCAGTAAAAGTGGCGATCGAAAGCCTCCAAGCTCTTGGTGCACTAAATGTAGATGAAACTCTAACCAAATTGGGCGAATATTTATCCCAATTTACTGTAGAACCGCGTTTGGGAAAAATGCTTATTTATTCTGTGGCATTAAGGTGCCTGGAACCAGTCTTGACTTTAACTGCTTCATTGGCACATAAGTAAGTAATGGATAGAAACGAAATGGTGTATAATTAACGAATTATTTTTTTAGGGATCCTTTCCAGCTGCCGCCACAAGCAAATCTTAAGGTTGCTGCTGCCGAAAAAAGAAGGGCCCTTATCGAAGATGTACCTTCTGATCATTTGATTTATCTTAAAGCTTTTCTTAAGTGGCAGGTAATAGTTATTTGTTTTACAAGTGTTGAAAAGCGACTTTTTCATGCGAGTTTTTAAGTTGCCCACGAGGCCGTTAGGCCGAGTGTGCATTAACACGAGCTTGAACAGCTTTTGACAGCTGAATGTCAAACGATGCTTTCCGGTTCTTTTCACACAGACCTGTCACTTTTCACACATTCGTGTTTTGCCTTGCCAATGAAAAGATTCATTTTCTAAGCAACGATGCCATCATGAAAAGTGACTTTTACATAGTGGTCGTAGAAAATAGTTATTTGTTTTACAAGTGTTGAAAAGCGACTTTTTCATGCGAGTTTTTAAGTTGCCCACGAGGCCGTTAGGCCGAGTGTGCATTAACACGAGCTTGAAGAAAGCTTTTCTCACAAGTATAACACAATGGTTTTTCTGAGACCCTTTTATTTTTTATTATTTTTAAATACAAAACAAAATAACCTAAAAACTTTTTTGACAGCTGAATGTCAAACGATGCTTTCCGGTTCTTTTCACACAGACCTGTCACTTTTCTCACAGAGATGTCACTTTACATTCGTGTTTTGCCTTGCCAATGAAAAGATTCATTTTCTAAGCAACGATGCCATCATGAAAAGTGACTTTTACATAGTGGTCGTAGAAAAAATATATTTGCGCCTTATTGCAAATAACAAACGATTAAACAAAGATCTACATGATAACAAAATAATTAAAAATTTAAACAATAATTAATATACTATGAAAAGCTAAATTTAATGAAAATTGGTTTATATGGTGATAAGATATTATACATACCTATTATAATAATAGCATTATGCATTTTTGCAAGTTACTTGAAAATTGGTCATTTTATGAGCACAATTAGTTATTTTATACAAAATGTCCCTAAAATAGCACACTAACGGTATGCCCCTTTGTAGGGGGGAAAATTATTAGTATTAAAAAAATGCAAAATAATTTCCGACATGTAGTTTTTAAATTATTAAGGTCGTTTTTTTTTGCGTAAATACTATGAAATACTTTGGTTAATTTGATTAAATATTTCTGTGGATTTGTAACTTTTGACATTTGTTTACTTGTTCATAACCATAGAATGTTAATAACCTAGAATTTTTGAAAAGTGTTTGACTTATACAGGGTGTCCCAATATTTCATGGACAGGTCAAAATACGTCAATCAGACAAAACTTACCTCTATTCCAAAAGGCTTTGTTTGTCCGTGAGAGGGATTTAAAGTTTATTGAAAAATTCGAATTGGATCAAAATCGGCCGATCCAAATTTAATAAAATTTGGTAGGTGAATTTATAATTAAAAGTACTAGTTTCTCATGTGCATGTTAATTTGACTGAAACCTAAGAAGGAGTCAAACTACCCCTACCTCCAATAAAATTGATCCCAATTATTGCAAAGGTAGTAGGAACGCTGTTTCAATTTTTTTTATCTGAAAGATACATCAAGTCTCTTACAAAAATCTTTATCTTTTCAAGGTGCTTGTTTGGTGTTTTTGGTGATGTTTTTTACATTGACGGTAGGTGCGCTATAAATCTGTCTAAAAAAGTGAAATTTAATATTATCTTCAAAGCAATTAATGACACATTGGTTGGTAAAATCTGTTACAGAGTGTCAATTGTGACAGAGTACTTCGTAAAAGTAACTTTCCTATGGAGACCACCTCATTTTGCACGCATTGTCAGACAACATTTGAATTACCAAATGGATTGTGACCACCATGGTCCTCAGACCGTGCGATTTTTTTCTCTGGGGAGCATTTAATGTGTATAAGGTAGAAATCGAAAACATTGAACATTTGTGGGTGAGAATCCAGAACGCTGCAAACAGTTTTGCAAAATAAAGCCGTTCTAAGAGTTCAATTAAATTTTTCGCCGCTTGTAAGGTTCAAAACGGCGGCCATATCGTAGTTAAAATAATTAACATTGGAAATTATGAAATAAAAATGTATAGTTATAATATATAATTATAAAATATGTACGAAAATAATTTTTTAAACAAAAAAATAGAAAGAGCGTTTCTACAACCCTCTTTCCGGGTTTAAATCAAATTAACATCAGAAATTACTATGTTCATGGAAAATTGAGACACCCTGTATAAATAGTAAATTTAAAAGGAAACGACGTACACTTCATCTATGACGTTATAATTTTGCACACTGGTACCAATACTAAATGTATAAAACGAAGTCTGTAATTGAATTGTAGTTGGCACCAAATAATTGCGTTGCCGAACCGGTAGCGTATTTAATACTTTTTTAAGCGAACATAATAAAATGTTTTGATGTTTATTTGTAGTAGGTAATTTAGCAAACCGACGTCTTTAATTCATACGAAACAAAATTAGTGCTTGTTTGATCGAGCAGTTGTCGTTAGTTCTATGACTATTCGCACAAGGAACATAGTGTTGCCGTTACGCATGCGAATAACGACAACTACTCGATAAAAACGACTTGAGCATTTAGGTTTAAAAATTTTGGCAACGTGTTTTTCTATCAGGGGGCTAATATTAAACACAGCAAACTCCAATATTTTTGATTTGCAAATTACACGACATTTATCAAAATTTTCGTTCTATTCAGTAAAAATATCAAACCTTATATTATTGCCAATATTACTAAGTAAATCTCCTTTTTTTAAGAAAATGAGTTAATAGCGTAATTTCTATTTCTGGGGTTTGATTTTAGCCCCCTGATATTCAAGATCTAAAAACGGTTGTTAGGAAAACAAAATAAAAGCGCATTACAGAACACAATTCGTACATTGTGATGCTAAGAAGGTAACATTAAGAATAAACACGGAACAGCAATACTCGAAAAAGTGTTCAAATGTCGCACCCGTAACATTTTGAGAAAATTTTAGAAAATAAAGTATACCTACAATATTTGTGCATTTAAAATACGTGCTAGTTTAAGGTTATTATTCAAGTTTTACACGAAAAATTATTAGTATATGCCTTTATCCAAAATTATACAGTATTAACAGAAGCCAAATTGCTCGCATTTGCCCGTTACGCGATTCATGACGTTATAAAAGGTTTTCTTTACAAGATTTTTTTGAAATTTTGTTTTGAGTTAAATATCTAATTTTTTATACTATTTTGTATATTAACGTATCTTAATATATATGAACAAATAATTTATTATCATAATAAACGCAGTGTCAGTGTCGCACCCGTTGGAATGGAATTACCCCTGGGGTAAACAATACTTCATTATACAAATTCCGTAAAATGTATGACTTTTCAAAAGTTAGGCTCAATTTAACGAAAATCGTAAAACTTCTGTTGATTGACGCTGGAATCACTCGAAAATACAAGTTCATTAGTCGCCAACTTAAAAATTTACATTTTCGAGTGATTCCGAAAACGATTCGAATTTCTCTGTCAATATTTACTTTCCCTGACCACTGACATATATAAATTTACTACTTTAGCAGCATTCAAATATTGTGAGTTTATAAAAAATAACATTACTACAAAAAGATCTTTCAATCATTTCCGATTTTCCATCAAAAAGTCCACGAATTTGCCGAATAATCCGGAATTGGTCTGCAGCTAATAAAACAGTTTTATCTCAATTATTTTGTCTAAAAAAACCTAAACTTTATATTATAATAAAAAGTTTTACCTTTTTATTTTTAAAACGTCTTTAGAAACTTGCTTTCATCCTTTAGCCTCAAAACATCAAAATAACAAAATTTAAATTCTATTTAAAAACCACTACTTGGAATTTTTGTTGTAATATTTTAAATATCCCCTCCTACAGTGTGACAGTGCGCCAATTTTGGGACACCCTGCATAAGAAAAAAATGAGCATCTAACTTTTTCTCGTGATTGCTGTATTATTTGTGGAAATGATGTATGCTAGGTATATCATTTTCAAGACTAAAAATTTAAATTTCATTGGGAATAAAAAATAACTCATTTTAAATTAAAAAATATGTTTTGATTCGCAACCAATTCGCAGAAAAAATTTTTCGATAATGCAGTATTTTTTTTTTTGAAATGAAGACCACAAAATCTGTGAGTCAGTACACACAAGAATTTAGTAAAAAAGTGTGATATAAGCTATTAATTTCTAAAAAACTACCTATTCTATAAAATGTCAAAATTCCGGCCTGTATATAAACAACAAATGACACTTGGGCAAAATTCTTTTGCACTTTTATTACTAGATATTCAAACAATAAAACTGCAAAATTTTAATAAAACTTTTTGGTATACTTGGCATATTTTTCCCCATATGTTACTTGATTTTTGATCATTTTTAGGAGGAATGTCAAAAGGGTAGAGGATACGAATTTTGCCGGGAGTATTTTATATCGAAATCTACAATGGAGTCGATTTTGGAAACTCGCCGTCAACTATTGGGACAACTACGTGCCGGAGGATTTATACCACAATCAAACTCGCTCAGCGATTACAACAAATACGCTGACAGCTGGCCAATGGTAAAAGCAGCAATCAGCAGTGGGTTATACCCTCATCTTGCTTTTCCCAATGGAGCAGCTTATAGCACTAGGTACATTTTTTTAATTTTGAAACTAAGAATTTTTTTTATTTATACCACACAAATTTCTGCTAACAAAAAATAAAATTTCATGGTGTTTTAATAATTTAATTTTAATTTAATGAAAGATAATGAAAACAAATTTAATTTTTTAAAATCTTCTAAGCTGATCATTTTGTATTATATTTTTTAAATCTTTTTTTTTCAAAAAATGCAGCAAGCGTTTTACATCTTACTTTTTATAATTATTTTGTTAAAAATATTGTTAAAACTGACACTAAAATCATTGTTTAACATTTTAAAATATAATTAATTAAAAAAGAAAATAGCCATTTTGTATCATGTTTATTTTATGAATTGAAAATAAATAAAGATACTTTTTTCTATGCTATACATAGTATGTATAGCATAGAAAAAAGTATCTTTATTTATTATAGGTATGTAAACAAAATTGTGCAACCTGGTGATATATTGTATTTGCAAAAGGCAACATCATCCTAAAGTGGAAAATGAATTAAATTGAAAATAATATGAAGAAAAATTCCTTTATTTAAAAAAAAATTACAAATGCTGTTTTTTTCAGTTTGACTATACAGTAGGGGTGTGCAAATAATGTTCGAATTGCATAAAAAATAATTAAATTTTTGAGTTAAATTATTTGAATTAATTAGTCAAATAACACTAGGCAACAAATTTTAACTTAAAAAAAAGTCCTGGTTAAAAATAGAATTTTTCGATTGTTTATGACTGAAATAGATCCAAAATGTTTTTAAAAAAAAATTCTGAAATAAAAAATAGGAGCACAGTATTTTGGTACCATTTATTGCATAGATTTGAAAATTTTAGAATGACGTTACTTTTAACTTATATTTCAGCATTCCATGAACAACATATCTGTACATATTGTAAAAATTTAAGGCATGTTTTTTTATGTTTACTGTTTTTTATCGTTCGAATTATTTTGTTTACTTATTTTTATCGTTATTATTTAACAATTTTTCTTTGTATCATGGTGCTGCCCGTATCGTCTAAACGAAACTTTGGAAAATTTTTTGGTGGTCGGATTTGCGTCGAGCAGGTGAAAATCTATAGGACTGTGCTATTTTTATTACCGACCTTTTTTATTTACTTATTATTATCGTTATTATTTAACAATTTTTCTTTGTATCATGGTCCTGCCCGTATCGTCTAAACGAGACTTTGGAAAATTTTTTGGTCGCCGGATTTGCGTCGAGCAGGTCAAAATCTATAGGAATGTGCTCTTCTTATTACCGACCTTTTTTATTTACTAATTTTTATCGTTATTATTTAACAATTTTTTTTTGTATCATGGTCCTGCCCGTATCGTCTAAACGAGACTTCGGAAAATTTTTTGGGCGCCGGATTTGCGTCGAGCAGGTCAAAATCTATAGGACTGAGCTATTTTTATTACCGACTTTTTTTATTGTTTACTAGTGTAATTAAATATTCACATCTATGATATGGTATAGTCTATCTATATTATATGCTTTCCAATTGATCGTTTTGAGCCCCGGGTTTTAAGTTTGCGCTCCCATTACTTTTGTTTTTTACACATTGGGTGCTCAAAACGGTCAATTGGAAATTGGTTGGTAATTTTTGTTAATGTTTTTAATTTACCTAGTTACAATTGCAATCTTTTTTATTTTAGGAGTGAAAAGAAGGTTTATCCTATTAATAGCAGTGCTCTGATAAAAAATAGAGTAGTTTCATGGGTTGTGTTTGATGAACCTTTAAAAAATAAAAATAATTTTTATATTAGAGGAAATACCGCAGTTTCTCCTCTTACGGTAACTTTAAATTGATATTATTTTTTAATTCTGTAACTAGTCTCAATAATTTGTAGATTGCATTGGTGTGCGGTAATGATTCGGAATCAGTATGCGAAAGCACTTTTATTATTGACAAATGGTTGGAAATAGACTGCCTAAATTGCGATATTCCGCAATTCCGCTTATTTGTCAAGCAGCTTATCAACAAAGTGCTCAATAATCCAGCCATAATGTACAGACATCTTGAATACGACACTATCAGTGTCCTGAATAAAGTCTTGTTCATTGAAGACACTCAGCTACAGCTCCCACAAGCCATAGGCATTGGTTACAGACCAAGTTTTACTTATCACACTGAGAGAAGAAGGCAACAGAACTATGAGCCAAATAACGAGAGACACCACCAGGGCCCGAGCAACGGCGAAGTGGAAAATTTGACGCGTAATTTCCGCAACTTGGCGTCTCAGGAACGACGTCCGAATAATATGAACAACTCTGGGGATTACCAACAAGGGCGGAGGCGAAATGTAAATAACGTAGAAAAGGAGAATTATTCCGGTAGAAATTTTAGCAGCGCCGGACCTGTGGATCGATTTAGAATGTCCAATCCTGAAGAAAGGTATCAAAGCGTACCTGATGCTGTTGTATATATACTTATTAAACCAAGGCAGACGCGCAGTGTTAATATTGCCTACTGTAATGGAACTTGGGTGTTTGCTCCGCAAACTGAAAAAAAGATCATACATTATTATTCTATGGTAAGATTTTTATTTAAAAAATATCATGTCCCTGACTGTGTTTTTCATTGTAGAATAAGCAGGTGAGGTTGATTTTCACGGTTTATAACGGAAATGCATTCCAAGGAATCGCCCAATTTATATCTATGAATCCAAATGTTGGAAAAAAACCAAATGCCAATATCAAATGGCTTTTCCGTTTTGAGGTTCCACATGTAAAAGCTAGGTAAGTTATATTAATTTATAATTTACATTTATTTCTATGCGGGGAAACGGAATTTTACGTACGAATTTTTCAAAAATATTTAAAAAAAAAGATGTTATCTAATACATTAACTTTTTCTCAAAACTTTTACTAGTGGTAACAAAAGGAAGAAAATTTGAGTCAATTTTTCATACCTGTAGGTACCTACCATTTCTCTGCTAAAAGTCTTATTAACTATGTCAGAATCATGATACTACATAAGACTGCGGCCGGTGAGAGAGATAGCGATAGAGAGGGCTTGTGGCCGACTGAAATCCATATAAAGTTATATTTTTTTTGCAATGAATAAAACAACAAAAGTCATGTCCTTTAACTTATTTTAAATAATTTTGAACTGGTCTCTGGCAAATTAAATAATTTGGGTTAGTTAGGAACAATAACAACCTAAATAAGTTACCTGTTTTAAAGTAAATACCCTGAATATATCAAATATTGCATAATATATAGAATCACCTTAAATTCTTTTCTTCTAAATTCTTAAGACTAAAAACAATTTATAATATGCTTTATCCAACCAAAAAGTACGCCACTGATCAATTTTTGTAATGAAGGTAAATTCAAACAAAATCTGGCAACTTTTATGACAGAATCTAGTGCATTTTTTTCAAATTTTAGGTTATGTGCTCAAATAGTAAATATATTTATATATATATCTTAAATAAAGAAAGTTTATTTACACAAATTGAATGTTTAAAGTTTAACCTAATTTCCTAATTTCATCTGAGTAAACAGAAAGAAAAAACCGAAATAATTTTGTGGTTATAGAGTTTTTAAAATAGGTAGGTACAAAATTTTATCATTGCTTAAGCTAATAGCTGGATGAGTAAATAAATACAGAAGGGTATTAGAGCTTTAAGGGCATTTACTGAGTTTTTGTTTATTTTTTGCAAAAAAAATTTAGTAACTATTTTTTACAACTGGCAACGCGCAGCTACTTTGTTGGATATGTATTATTGGTATGTATTCACAGAACACCAGTGGCGTAGCACAAAAAATATAAAAACTTCTAATGCATATTTTTTCTTTATCTTTGGGAATAGTATATTACACTAAAAGGGCCGAATTTGAATTTTCGGCCCTGCGCATCATGACGCGCAGGACCGAGATTTCAACGTTTCGCCCGTGTGGTGTACCTATACTATTTTTCTTCATACATCGGTCGAAAGTACGTCCCTAATAGCACAGGGAGTAAATGTTACTTTCGAACAAGGTATGTCATAATGAAGAAAAATATTTTTTATTACATATAGTATTTAAATATATTACATAAATTACATATATGTAGTATATGCATAAAACCCATTCACAAAGTCGGACTTTTTGACTTTTTTATAAAAGTCATGACTTATTCCAACCCTGGTTTAGTAGTGTCTTTTCTGGTTTATTGTAATTTCTTTTAAAGAAAAAATCATCAAAATAAAGTTGTTCTTACACAACGTTATTAAAATGTTAAAACAAAAATTTCCCATCTAAAAAAAGTCCGTTCCGCGACGCCTGGTTTAAAAAGTGTTGTTCCCAGCGGGAAAAAAGCGTAACAGATTTTACATAAAAAAAGCCATTTTTTAACTACCTATTATTATAAAAATAAAGAAATTTGTTATTTCATAAAAGCTAAAGGGGATTTTTAAAATCAAAAATTTTATTTAAATATTTGTTAACAAAAACAAATATCTACTTTTAGTGTCTTGCTAAAATCTACTACTTTGAAAGAATAATCTACCAACTTTGTAAGTTTTTAAATTTTTTAAATTAAATTTCCGTGAAAGTTGTAATAATGCGTTGTGTTTTTGTTTATACTTTTTCTACTTTGAACATTTACCGAATTTCATAGAGTATATAGCGTGGACACATAGGTACTTCCTTAGAAGTATGTGAGGGCGCGTTCCTGTAACGCCCTGTATTATCTATTACATTTATCAACAAAGTGCTAAAGTGCTTAAAGAATAGAATAATAAAAAAGCTATACTGCTATGCAATTGTACCCTTTTGCTTCTAATCCCTTTAATTATAAATAGGCACTTGGGTTGTATACTATTAAATATTCAATTAATTAATTTGAGTATACAACCCAAGTGCAAATTTATAATTATAATTCTTCAATTTTTGACTTTTTTTATTCTTATTTTGGGTATTGGCACAATCTGTAATTCTGCTTTATCATTGTTTTTATATAAAAATACTTGAAATATTTTTTATCCGTCAAAAATTAATTCAGAGTGCCAGATTTCTTACTTTAAGGCGGGCACTGACTTGCAACTGAACGTTGTAATGTAATGTAACACGAACATTCGATAGTCAGTGCCTATAAACGAGCGCGAAGCGAACGGCGAGCGGCGAACGGAGCATCCGTGCTCCATGAGTGTCGGTTTTTTAGCGAATCCCTTTGATTGTTACATTACAAGTCAGTGCGCGCCTTTTTGATTCATTCCGAGCAAGTTTCATTTACCTATTTAGTTGCGATATTTGCCCGCCTTATTATTTTGTGATATTTTTTAATATAATTATATAATGGAGTGGTCTCAAAACAAAGTTTTATTTTTTATTGAAATGTACCATATTAAAAAAACATAATAAATTAAAAAAAATATGACGCCTTGCAGCAACTGACTGACGAGTTAAAAACAACTGACTAAATGGAGCACTGTTGAGCAGAGCATTCAAAATGAGCATTCGCGGCGCCAAGAAAACGATATGAGCTCGTGCGTTGTAATGTAATGCTCGCCTTGAGCATTACATTACAAAGCTCGGCTCAAGTCAGTGCCCGCCTTTAGAGTTTCTAGAATGCTTGAAAAATATAGGTGCACCATGGTAGTCTACTAACTTTTAAAAGTAAGATTTGTTGGAAACTACCAACTTTTAAAATCATATCTACCTCCTAGGCAGATTTTGGGTTGGCAACACTGATAAAATAATAAAATTGTACAGGAAATTGGTAGGTACTTACTTATCATGGCACTATTACTATAAGTTTAATTTTATTTCAATGTTATCACGAAATTCTTTGCCTGCCCTTACGAACTACCTATCCACGCGTATAAAATAACTTATAAATTTTTAATAAAATACGCACTTTAAAAATTCCCTGTGCCCACCCCAAAAGATGTGCCTAAACAAAACTCCCTGAAATTGTTTTATGTATATGTTAACTTTGTCCCCCTTATCACGAAATTCTTTGCCTGCCCTTACGAACCCCCTATCCACACTTATAAAAAAATAACTTATAAATTTTTAATAAAATATGCAAACTTTAAAAATTCCATGTGCCCACCCCAAAAAAAGTGCCTAAACAAAACCCCCTGAATTTGTTTTATTTATATGTTAACTTTGTCCCCCTTATCACGAAATTCTTTCCTGCCCTTACCAACCCCCTATCCACGCGTATAAATTACTTTATAAATTTTTAATAAAATACGCAAACTTTAAAAATTCCCTGTGCCCACCCCAAAAGATGGGCCTAAACAAAACCCCCTGGAATTGTTTTATTTATATGTTAACTCTGACCCCCTTATCACGTAATTCTTTGCCTGCTCTTGCAAACCGCCATCAACACAAAAAATATAGAACTGTAGACTACAGAATTTTTTTTATAAAATACGCAAATATAATATTTTACACCAATAGATGTTTCTTAATAAAGCCCCCTTGAATTGAGTTTAACTTTTAATGGTATTAGTAAACGAACTCTTTACAAATTGCTGTTTTGCTTTGCTGTTCTACCTTCATTTTTTTAAACGTCTTACAAATTACACGAAGTTTAAAAGGTCTCTGTCTCTATATCCCTGTGTCTACTTGTATTTAAATCTTAATTTTTAATCGCGAGCTTGATAAATTGCTGTTAAAAGATATTAAATTAAAACTTTACACAATTTTATAAATAATCAACCCACTGTGCGCTGCGTGCTCTAGCGGCTGACCGCGAACCTGTTTATAGTCCCAAGTAAGGTCGACCTTCACCCATCTGCTTACCAGATGAAAATTATATTTTATCAAATAAAATATGTTTCTGAACATAAACCAATAGGGTTGCCATAAAAAATATGATCAAGGCTAGCTATAATAAATAAAAAATTAAAAAAAAATAATTAATTTTTTAAATTTCACCGACTTGCTTGCCAAATGAACGAAATTCCAATGGAAAGCATACAACATACAGAATATGTAACAGCTAGGTTGCCTACCTTTTTCTGGTCCCTATTACCTGGTTGCTTTGTACAGGGTGATCCCCTATAATGTCGCCCCCCTTTAACTTTTTTATTTTAAGTGTCCCAAAAAATTTAAAAGTGTGGTTATGTAGGAACTAAAAAATACTTTTTTTCTACGTATAAAGAAAATTGGAAAATTGATCAGTATACAGGGAAAACAAAAAGTTTATTTTTTTCAATGGATCACCCTATATATGAATTTATTTTTCGATTCCTTGTAAAATTCTAAGCATATTTCATATATCATACCATATACCTAAATTCAACCGTTTCTGAAATATTTAAATTATTTTTAAGATAATAAGTTGAAATAGTTTGTTTTTCTCTGTCTGAGTACGCCATTTTTACTTATTTAACAACACTTATTGACATATATATTCAATAAAAATTTTGGTATACTGAGGCTTCTTGATTTCTAACAGTATAAAAAAACATTTAATGATGACATTTCGAATGCGAATATTTCAGAAACGGTTGAATTTAGGTATATGGTTTGTTATATAAATTATGCTCAGAATTTTACAAGGAATCGAAAAATAAATTCATATATACGGTGATCCATTGAAAAAAAATAAACTTTTTGTTTTTCCCTGTATACTGATCAATTTTCCAATTTTCTTTATAGGTAGAAAAAAAGTATTTTTTAGTACCTACATAACAAAACTTTTAAATTTTTTGGGACACTTAAAATATAAAAGTTAAAGGGGGGCGACATTATAGGGGATCACCCTGTACAAAGCAACCAGGTAATAGGGACCAGAAAAAGATAGGCAACCTAGCTGTTACATATTCTGTATGTTGTATGCTTTCCATTGGAATTTCGTTCATTTGGCAAGCAAGTCGGTGAAATTTAAAAAATTAATTATTTTTTTTTAATTTTTTATTTATTATAGCTAGCCTTGATCATATTTTTTATGGCAACCCTATTGGTTTATGTTCAGAAACATATTTTATTTGATAAAATATAAGTTTCATCTGGTAAGCAGATGGGTGAAGGTCGACCTTACTTGGGATCCTCTACTATTAGGAATGTGTGGCTGGAGATGTGTGGATAACTTCACACAAACATTTTTAAGTCGGGGCTGTATACTCCGATACCCGTTTTTGTGTCTATCTTGGATGCATCTGAGTAAATAATATTGAATTTTCTTTGTTTGAATACTGGCATGATCTTTAGATTGTTGTTGGTATTGTTTTTAATAAGTTTTAGATCTAAGAGATAGGTGGGACATCCTGGGAATACATCGAATTACATCGTCAGACAATCTAGGAATTTTCAAGGGGTATAAAAAGGTTTAATTTAAAAATAAATAATATGTATATTATACTATTATGTATGATTTAAAATATAATAAGACTACCTACATGATCATATATATATATGATATATCATGACTGAATTTTTTTTATTTGTGATTAATATCATTTTAATGTTACAAACAAATTGTAAAAAAGTTTAATCATGGTCAGAATACTCCCAAATCTTGCTATTAGTCTGACTTACCTAGTAAGAGTTTTTATCAAAACTTTTTCAGAGAAAAATTTCCACAAGGGGTGTTATTAAAATATGTATAGGTATCATTTAATCAAGAGAATGGTAAGGATAGATAGTTTAATGTTTTTTAGGATTTCCACAGGGTTAATGGTTAAATTATTAAAATAATGTGCTTTTTGTATGTTAATACGATTTTTTTATTTTAGACAAATGCGTAATCCATATAACAGAGATCGCCCAATCTTTGATGGGGTGGATGGTCAATTGGTAGAGCAAAGTGTAGCTGAGGAATTAGTTAGAGTGTTCTCAGAAGTCAGTAGACAAAATCCTAAATCCGAAAGTTAATTGACTAATCTTTTTTATTCACAATAGCAATGTTTTCTATTGGAGTAATGTTTCCACAACAATTTCTTGAATTTGATTTGAGTATAATTTTTTAAATTTGGTTATTCATTGTTTTGTAGATTGGGCCATATAAATTATATTAAATAATACTTTTCTTTCAAGGATTTTACAGTTTTTAAATTGACTATTAGATTTTTTTTGCAGAGTTTATGCACATTCAGAAATTTAATTTATTTTTATGTACTGTAATTCTATATTTTAAAATCTTACTTAAATTGAACTATTTTTTATTGATATTGGCCAAATTATAACTGTTTATTAATTTAAAACTTATTTATCAGTAATAGAAACTGTAGATGTGATGCATTGAAGAGAAAATCTAAAGGATATTCAAATAAATACCATGTTTTAAATATGGGATTATTAAATGTCTCTACTTAAACTTTAAGTTATTTATACTTACATTTTAAGTTATTTATACTTAAATTTTAAGTTTCTTATAATAATTGCTTTTTTCAAAATTAATTTTATCTCTTACCAAATAGGGAAATAAAATTTTTTAAACACAACCCCCTTTATAGTAAATGTGAAAAATGAAAAAAAAATACTTGCATTTCACCTTCTTTATTTTAATTGCGCTTTTTATAATAAATGTAAACAAAACTTTAAACCGTTGAGTGAAGAGTATTTTCACTTAACGGTTTAATGATTAAAATATCTCATATTTGAATAAAACATGCAAGAAATTTTAATATTCTTTAACTTTGCCCCACAGTGTAGTTCTGTTATGCAATATTAAAGGATTAATGTTTTGTAGTTTGCTGAATATTGAATAAATTTTAATTACATTGATGTCTCACGGCATTTCTGTACTTGCAAATTGTAACAACTAGTTTTTGTAAATTGTTAAAAAACATGACAAATTAATTTTGTTATTTATTTTAATATAGTATGTTTAATATAAAAATTATTGTTATTTATTTATTCTTCTACCCCATTTGTCTGGTTTAGATTTATATCTAAGCTTATTTTGCATGTATTTAAAGGGTCCAACTTCAAATGCCTATTCATGAACAAAAAATGTCATTGTTATTTTTATTAGACTGTGGAAGACTTTTCGAGATTGGCTCCCAGCCTTTGGGGGCTTCCTTATTTTTTCGGTTCAATTTTTTTTTTAATACATTAATAGGCATGACTAATAAATATAATAATCATACATATGAATGTCTAAAGTTTTTCAGATAGAGCAAATAGAGAGTTTTGAAAAGAAAAAGGTAAACACAGTGAATTTAAACGTTAATTTTTTTAACAAACAAACCAAAATTTGTATGCAAACGAAAAAAACTTAATTAATTTCAGTGTCACACGTCTTGATCATCTTCACTTTTTTTAAAACTTTAAGCTTGATCTCAAATAATTTTGTAAAAGGCTTATTCTGGTAGTTTTATCCACTTTTTCTTGCTTAGCGGTTAAATGGATGAAAAGAAAGAGTTTTGCAAATAACCGATAACTCTTTAACCGATTTTATATAACAAAGAAGTACTTTTTAAAGTTTTAAAGGTGGCAAGTACATTCCTTATCAAAAAGATGAAATAAAAAAAAAAAGATAATTTTGCAAATAATGGCTTCAAATATAACAGATTTCTAAAAGTCGGATAAAATTTGATGAAGCCCCCTGTTGTAAATGACCGATTAATTCCTGTAGTATTGGTTGGTATCAATGGGTCTGGATTTAATTGGGCGCGATATAAAACAGAAATTGGTTTTTACTGGTATTTTCCAATTAGGATTCTAAAGGTTTTTATTGGTTTCGATTGGATAAAGCTACCTATAGGTAATTTCCAATTGAATTCAATTGGGCATTTCCAGTGTAAGATTCGAAAAATCTGCTAATTGGTTCTTCCCAATACAATACAAATATCGGAAGAGGGCTCTCGTGTAGCTGCGCAAAATCAACGAGGTTGAGACGCCATCATAAAGAAAAAACAACAAGTCTTTGGACGCCATTTATTAGCGGTTTTTTTTATTAGTCGATTTCAGTGTTAAGTGCCTTGTGTTAAGCTGGATTTATAGTTTTAAAGGTAACGGTAGAGGCAGCGGTAAAGGTAGCGGTAGCGGTAGCCGAGTTCGGCATTGAATATTGTACGAAACAATTTATAGTTGTCAGAGGTAGCGGTAAGAGAGGTAGAGGCAAGAAGGTAGCGGTAAGAGATGACCATCTTTCATCTGTTCTTACCTCAACCGCTACTCCAGCCAATCACACGGCAGTTTTTAGTTAGCAGTTTCGCCTTGTAAGTTTAGTTTTTATGCGAGGTGCAACCAGACTTGATAATTTGTCAAAAATGGGCACCGTCATTTGTGTATTTAAAGAACTACTCTTTATCGGTCAGTTTTATTTTATTTTAATACTGGAAATGGCGTTTCTTAGCTCGTTCCCAATTTAATTCTCTAGTTTTATATCGACGTACTTGACGACCCCCATAACGTACTTTAAACCCTGCAATACAACATAATATATTGTTTTGCAGGGTTAATTATATAATATTTCGCACAACGCCATATGGCCCAGAAGCACAGCTGTGCTAGCATTGTCCTCGCAATCCATGTTTTCGTAGAAAACTTAACCTTTTGCTGTCAAATTTTACAAACAAAATTACAATCTGCATTAAAGTACGCATGCGCCACCAGTACCGTCACCGCTACTTTCTGAACTAAAAATTGCAGAAAGTGATACCGCTACCGCTACCTTTACCTCTGCCTCTCCCGTTACCTTTAATCCAGCTTTAGTAGTGTACTTATATTAAAAAAATGTTTATATGTGTAAGGTTTAGGGACGATGGCGTAAGAATGGTTGTCACAGCGGACAAAATAAAAAAATTTGACATAAACAATATCGACTTCGACCATGCCTACAAACATCCTTTGCAAGAAAGACAAAAAAATGATTATAACCGAGTAATTTTATTTATTTTATATTACTTTTTTTCTGATAATAAGTTATATGTATCAATACATACATATATCACAAAAAAATAATAAAGAAATAAAATTACTCAGTAACAATACATTTTTTGTCTCTTCTGTGAAAAATGAATTCTGGTTTTTACCTGGTTATCCTTCTGGGATCTAAAATTATTTTTTAATGAAAAATAAACTGCCCTGCTGAAAAAGACGGGTAATATCGAATGATTGCGGATAAAAAACCAAGCTGGTTTTATGTCCATTTATATCTGTTTTCATCCGACATATCTGATTTTACTCGGCATGTCGGTTTTTATCTGCAATTGCGGGTATAAATATTATCCGCGAACGTCGGGTTTTATCTATTTAGTTCTATGTCTGCTTTCATCTGGTTTCATCCGCAAATACCTGTATATGGGTTTATATCTGCATTCACCCGGTTTTATCTGATTTTATCCGCAAACATCTACTTTAATCCGCAAACGTCTGTTTTATCCGATTTACCTGCAAACATCTGCTATTATATGTGAAGATCTACTTTCATCCGCGAACATCTATTTTAATACATAAACATCTGATTTCATCCGCAAACATCTACTTTAGTCCGCAAAAGTCTGCTTCATCCGATTTCACCTGCAAACATCTGCTTATATCCGCAAAGATCTGCTTTTATCTGTGAACGTCTACTTTAATCCGCAAACTTCTGCTTTTATCCGCAAACATCTGCATTTATCCTCGAACGCCTCCTTTAATCCGCAAACATCTGTTTTAATCCGCAAACATCTTATTCTATCCGCAAACATCTGCTTTTATCCGCAAACATCTGTTTTAATCTTCAAACATCTGCTTATATCCGCAAACATCTATTTTAATCTGCAAACATCTGCTTTAATCCGCAAACATCTGATTTTATCCGCAAACATATGCTTTTATCCGCAAACATCTGATTTTATCCGCAAACATCTGATTTTATCCGCAAACATCTGCTTTTAACGGAAAACATCTGCTTTTATCCGCAAACATCTGATTTTATACGCAAACATCTGATTTTATCCGCAAACATCTGCATTATTCAACACGACATTTTCCCAATGGGAAAATAATTTAATTATATTCACCAGATTTAAATTTAAAAATCAGGTATATTATAGTGAAGATTACCACATGTGCACAGAAATAATAAGTCTAATAATTCTTACATATACCTATATTAAAAATATTGGTTATGCCAAAATTAAAAAGTTTATAAAGTTAGATGAAAAATTCTACCTAAATAAGTGTTTTTCAAACAAATTCCATACAAATTGAAGATGTTATAATTCCAAATGTATTTGAAATTAAACATATATGTTTTCTAACAATTAATTTAAATGTAAGCTTAATGATTAAAAAATTTCTATTTATGTCTTTTAACAAAGCCCTTATTTGTATTTTACCAAATAATATTGAAGTTCAATAAACTTATTTCCTTTACAGGTTGTTTTTATTCAAATAATTCCTTTTAGAGTTATAAAGTTGTGTGCCGTGAACGGCTAACAACCAGTTAGTTAAAGCTTAGAAAAGTTTGACAAACCAGGTAAACTGAACTAAAGTATACACGAGAAAAAGAACAACAAAAAGCGCGAATGAAACCAGACGTTTGCGTACGAAACAGGACCGAAATGGACAAAGGAAATGCAGGCAAACCGAACGCGGATGAAAGCACAGGTTTGCCATTAAAATCAGATGTATGCGGATAAAAGCAGATGTTTGCCGATAAAAGCAGATGTTTGCGGATAAAACCAGACGTTTTCGGATGAAAGCAGATGTTCACGGGTGATTGCAGATGTTCGCGGATAAAAGCAGTTGTTCGCGGGTGACTGCAGATTTTCGCGAATGAAATCAGATATTCGCGGATAAAAGCAGAGTTTGGCGGATAAAATCAGATGTTCGCGGATGAAAGCAGATGGTCGCGGATAAAAGCAGATGTTGGCGGATAAAATCATATGTTGGCGGGTGAAATTGGACTAGGCGGATAAAACCAGACGTTTGCAGATGATTCCGGACAAATTCAGATATAAACGAAAAACGGTGAAGACGGTTAAAAACAGATGATTGCAGATGATTGCGGGGGTGGACTAACCGGACATAAAACTAACCGGGTGTTCGCGGATATAGCGATGCGGACAAAACAGATGTTATCAGATGATATTTTTACCCGCTTTTATCTGCTTTTATCCGGCTTCGAGAAAGAATTTATACCCGCAATCATCTGCCTTTATCCGGTTTTGACGAAGAATTTATATCCGCAATCATCCTTCATTTTCAGCAGGGTGGTAGGTATTTTCTAATCCAAATTTTAAAAAATTAATTGGTTTTAATTGGTTGGAATGGGTTTGGCGCTATGAATTACCAATTCATACCGTGCATTTCTATTGGATTTAGCCAATAGAGGCAAGCATAGGCATGGATTGGTATTTTCCAATTCAAGCCGCTGCACAGTGGATCGATAGATAGGAATTTGTGGACATAGCACCAAAATGTGAGAAGATGAGGACATTTTAGGTTTAAAATAAATACTTATCAATTAAATAACGTTGTTATTTACAAAAGTAAATATAAAGTCTAGTTACTTGATATACAAGGCGTTTTAATACACCAAGGTCCACTATAGAAAAGGTTTACCAAGTTTTTGGTTTTTTATTTTTATCTTAAAAAAAAAAATTTCCACGAAATTTGGTGAAAACTTACCTTTTTATGTCCCATATACACTGTAATTTATTTGATTTGAAATATTTATTATTTCGCCTTATTTTGACTTAATATCAAAAAAGCACCCTAATTTTCAATCGAAAATTCTCGCGTCAAAATATCAGCTTTTTTCAAAAAGTCGGTGTGCTTTTTGTTTGTTGAAATCTCTACTTTCTGATGGTGTTAAAAAAATATACATTACTATGGTAAATGTTCTCAGAAAATGCAAAAAATATTATAATGAATAACGAAAAAAACTCGAATTCGAAAATTTATTTTAATCATTATGTACAATTTCATAAAAAAAATGTGATTGTTGCAATTTTTTTTAGTTAAAAAGTTTATTTATTAAATTCTAATAACATTTATGTCAGAAAATCTCATAAAATATAAAAATACATGTAAATCATACTATTGAATTTAAATCTAATTAGATACTTCATTCTGATTACGTTATTCATTATAATATTTTTTGTATTTTCTGAGAACATTCACCATAGTAATGTATATTTTTTTACACCATTAGGAAGTAGAGAGTTCATCGAACAAAAAGCACACCAACTTTTTGAAAAAAGCTGATATTTTGACGCGAGAATTTTCGATTGAAAATTAGGGTGCTTTTTTGATATTAAGTCAAAATAAGGCGAAATAATAAATATTTCAAATCAAATAAATTACAGTGTATTTGGGACATAAAAAGGTAAGTTTTCACCAAATTTCGTGGAAATTTTTTTTTTTTTTTGAAAAAGATAAAAATAAAAAACCAAAAACTTGGTTTTTTGAATTTTTCACATAAATTTTGAGGTTATGTGAAAAAATTGTAAATACAAAAGTTGTAGATCTTTTTATTACCTACAACTTTGACATTTAACTTTTTTCCATAGGACTTGTAGTTTTGCCGGAAATCGAGATAAACCATTTTTTACCCTTAAACCCCCCCTCCCACTTCCCGAACTCAGATCGCCCGTAATTTATTTTTCCTTTAATTTTTATTATATTCCCCTCCTTTTCCAATGGGTTTCATCCTACTGTTATTTTTTTTCTCTTTTTACCATTTTTAAAGGCTTCTGCACTGGTCTATATGCTCCATGACACTCTATGATCTATATTTTCCAAAGTGGCGCCTTGTGGCGGCAAATCTCTGTACATTTGTTTTAAATAACCTTTGAACTCCATAACAGCCATAAAAGAAGTTTATGCATATTTAAGCATTTTTTTAAAACTCAAGATAAAGTTTAGATTTGTGTAACGAATTGTATAACAATAAAATTTTAAAAATTATTGTTACTGAATACGTGTTGGTATTAAGTTAACCGGGCAATTTGCAAGCTTAGTTATCATATAAAATAAAACTATAAAAAAATATATAAGTTTTTGTTAAGGTATGAAGTTATGCTGTTTAATTTGTAATAGTCAGTTTAATAAGGAAAATAACAAAAAACATTCTTTACGAAAAACGCCTTCTGTACTGTTTAGTATGTTGCCAAAAAAAATTGTTATGCTTATTTTTAACAAATTTGAAGTTTTTGGGAGACATTTAAAAAAAAAATGATATCAAGTTAGTAATTTTGCATAATTGCTGTATGTCCACTAACATATATGAGCTCGATCCACTGTGCGCTGACTTCATTGGAAATTACCAATAGGAATTCAACTGGAAAGAATTGGTGATTCATAGCGCCAAAGCACATTTCAAACCAATTCAAACCAATTACTTATTTTTTATTGGATTCTATTGGTATTTTCTAATTCAAGCCGCTGACCTCATTGGAAATTGCCAATAGGAATTCAACTGGAATGAATTGGTGATGCATAGCGCCAGAACACATTTCAAACCAATTACTTATTTTTTATTGGATTCTATTGGTCATTTACAATAGGGCCTGTATGTTATTATTACAAATGGAAGGGGTAAAACGAAAATAATAAAAAACAAGCACACTCACGAGGCCATTAAAAGTGTAAGATATTATATAGGGTGTCACCTAATAAATTGTCATCCTTTGGGGGATGATCCAAGACAGCTTGGATATTCTAAGAATATTCTCTAAATCTACTTAATATATTAAGAATATTCATAAAATTAAGAATATTCATAATATTCTTGTAATATTTAGATAATATTCTTGTTACATTTATGGATGATTCATTTCAGTATATACTGAATGATATATTCATGTGCCTGGGATATATATATCCCAGGCACATGAATAATGAATCTGCTTATCTTATTCATTTTGGTATATGGTTTTTGGTATATTCTTACAATATTCTATTAATATACAATTGTTTCATTTATTATTTAGTTTAATTAGTCTAACTAAATCGGTGGGATTAAGAACAGTCCAAGTCCTTTTTTTATTTTTTTAATTGTTTATGATTTTTCTTAAATTGATATTTTACAACAAAAATTAATTAATAAAAAAATGGACTTGTTCCACGGTGTATAAGACCGTGACTTGGACTGTTCTTAATTTTAAAGTGTCAATTAAAAAAAAATGGACCAATTAAATATTACTGGAATGTTGTAGGAGTATATAAAAAAGCATGTTCATTTCGGGATCTACTAGGTACCGAAATGCGCATGCGCTAAGCGCGCTACAGGGCGGCTTCACACGAGATCGACCGATTCGGCTCCTTCTTCATCTCTGCATCGGCCATTGTTTGTGCGTGTTTCGCCAGTGAAAGTTTGTTTAAATAATTTAAAGATTGATTAGATAGTTGCTTCGTGTCTGCTAAAAACTGTAAGTATTGTAATTTGTTACTGTTTTTATTATTTCTGGAGACATGCGGCTATATTTTATGAATAATAACGTACCTAGTTTATTTTAAAAACCCCGGTGGTTGTTTTTAAAAATGATTTTTTTGTTTTAACTATTGATTTCAGAACTGGCGAAGATCCATACGATTAGGAGGTCTAGTTTCGATGGGACACTTTTGAAAACTCCACCTATTGTTAAGGACGATTTTTTTATATCATATCTTATAGGTAGGTATTCCTTATAATAATTTATTTATGTTTTTAATAATACATTTTTTATAATATATGCTACTTTTTATTCATGCTTTTATCCATATCCCAAATATACCAGTAAAAACAAAAACCAAAAGGCGGACATTATATATTCCCAGGCGTACCTAATCAAATTTGATTAGGTACGCCTGGGAATATATAATATTCTCCTAACAATACTTAAGTCTTATGCATGCCGGTACATGGAATATTCTTTTTATAATGACTGAGCTAACCAAAAAGCGGACATTTGATTACGCAAGGAATATTCGTGGGAATATTCTGGTACGCTTGGAATAATCCTGGGAATATTCCTGACATATGCAGGGAATGGGATTTTGCGGTCTGGTTGAATGGTTAGGGGGCACCTGTTTGGGTCCATGAGGGTTACACTTTGATGGGGGACCCCGGAGCACCGTCTAGAGATATCTGGGAATCCATAATGGCGGTCTCTGATACCGACTACTAGATTTCTACTTTACATTAGATATGTTATCACAGCAGGACGCTTGGTGCGTCATTTTTATAAAATCATAACCAAAAAGACCTTAGTAGGGGGGCTCCATGGGGGTTACACCTTGATGGGGGCAACGGAGCACCGTATAGAGATATCTGGGAATCCAAAACGGCGGCCCCCTTGTAGGCACCAAGCAAGTAGCGCCACCATGCGGCAGCCATGGGAACTGATGTTCTAGAATTGGCTTTGTTCTTCTACTTTGGTCACCAATTTATTTGAGTTTAATAGTCAATTTATATTCATATTTCTAGCTAAAAGAGAGAATTTTCTAAAAAAAAAAACATCGCGAAAGTGGAAAAAAGGGAGTAAATCAATTTCCAAAAAAGTTGTAGCGTTTTTTTGCATATATTCTTGAAAAACGCATCGGTAAGCAAAATAAGTTATATAAAAAATAAGCTTAACTTAAGTTATTAAAACAAAAATTAAGATTTTTTTCATGATGGCGAAGCATGGCGCATATACATACTATAGTATTGTATTGTATTGTATACAATGCATGTTTGCTCTTTCGAATAAAAAAATAATTTTAGCCGGTATAAAAGTATACCCCATATATGGGGTAAATATTCGCATTTACTGGCCTACACAGTAAAACCACGTCTGTAAATTTACTACGCACGTAATGGCAAAAAACCGCTGTGCGCAGTAAAAGTACAGGCGCCAGAGGCTAGTAAATTTAAAGAGTTTATAAATATGAATAAATGTCCCATTACAATATATTATAATTATATATAAACATGAAATTTCGTTTTATAGTACCTACCTATAGGTATATCTACATTTTGGCTTTAAAGCCAACATTTCCTCTAAAAACATTTCTGATTACTTGAGATTTATAACTCGATGCGATGAAAAAGGCATACCTATAGAAATATATCCTTCTGTAGGTATATATCCTTCCTAAGGTATACCTACCGGGCGGTTAAAAATAATCCTTTTTAAGATTGATGCGATTTAAATACTTATCTAATTGAAATATTAAAAGTAATGAAAAAACTTTGTATGTGCAATGCATACCTATATGCATGCATTATAATGCTGGAAAAATATAAGTACGATTTCATGTAGGAGTCCTACAGTAGGACTGCAATTTTACCACTTGATAGCTTTTTTAATTTTAATTAATAATTTAAATTACTGCGCACAGAGTAGTGTTATAAAGCTCAGAGCAGTGTTATAAAGGCAGTGTTCCATTTTTTGGCGCTAGTAAATTTACAGAGTTAGATTTACGCAAAAAGGTTATTAATCTATGGATTTACGGTCTAAGATAAATTAGAGAGAAATATTGGCAACACTGGATTGTATGCAACCCATATATCACTTCAGAAATTATATATTTTTTAATCATTTATTGTTAACTAACTATTTAGTAAAACTTTATAAATATTTTTTAGATATTGTATAACAAAATACAATTTAGGAACAGAAAAAGAGTAGTTTTAGAATTTTAAATAAAATTAAATAGTGATTTTTGCGCACACTTATTTGCGCATGATTGAAAATATCTCCATCTCTGTCAACAAGCTTCCTTTTCCGTTCTCTTCGAATTGTAGGTGCGTTTTCTTGTGTATATTATAAAATATCTTTAGTTTTCTTAACCATCCATTGGTAAAAACTATTTATTTTACGAATTGATTAATTATAAACTTAATGTTTAATCGTTTGTGAGAATATTTTTTACAAAAAACGAAAAATAACGAAAAAATACCAGGTGAGAGGTTATGTGTCATAAAACTTTTTATTATTTTAGGGTTCCAAAATGGGAGCTTACAAATACATTCAGGAATTATACCGCAAGAAGCAAAGTGATGTGCTTAGATTTTTACTTAGAATAAGAGTATGGCAATATAGGCAGTTGACAAAACTTCACCGTGCCCCTAGGCCAACACGTCCTGACAAAGCCCGCCGCATGGGATACAGAGCAAAACAAGGTAAAATACACTTAAATATGAATACAAATTGTTTATATAAACTTATTTTAATGGTTTATTTATGTTTAAGCATGACATTGTGTGAGTAAACACACTGTTGGTATTTTTAGGCTATTTGGGATTAAGCATGTTTTTGTAACCACCTATCTTCTTTTAGGCTATGTAATATTCCGTATTCGTGTACGTCGTGGAGGACGTAAACGTCCAGTACCAAAAGGTGCCACTTATGGTAAACCAAAATGCCATGGAGTTAATGAATTGAAACCTGTACGCAACTTACAATCTATTGCTGAGGTATGTACCAAACACATTAAAATATTGGCCCTATCGAAGCTTTACTTGGCAATTATTGTTCTGTATAGTCAAAGTGAGGCCTAAAGTAATGATCTGTAATGGTCACTGGTTAGTTTTATTTTAATAACTATCACAGTATTACCCAAGCAGACAACAAAAATTTAAAGTGTAAAACTTAGTGTCCAACAATATTGATTTTGGTATTGTAAACAAACATGTATATTATTTATATCGATGGTGTCCTTGGAGCATCAAAATTATTGTGGTTGTTTGGTTGCAAGATGCAGTGGCATAGCAGTTTCCTAAAACCATTAAATTTATTTAATTAATAGTTAACTAAAACACATGTAGGGGGACATTCATTAATTACGTGAGACAAAAATGGGGGGGAGGGGTCCAGCTAGTGATGTAGATAGGGTAAATACCCAGTGGGTAGGTAAATAAAATTTGGGTAAATACCTGGGTAAATACCCAAATTTTATTTACCTACCCAAAACTGGGTATTTTTGATAAATGCATTATAATTTATACTTTAAATAATATTAAACTTCCCTAACCTTATAAACATAAACGTACTAGAATTGTCTCTGAACGCACTTAATTGTGGAAAACCGCTTAATTGTTAACACATAGACCAGGGTCGATAATTTTTAAAACCAAAAAAAATAACAGTAGGATGAAACCCATTGGAAAAGGAGAAAAATATAATAAAAATGAAAGGAAAAATAAATTACGGGCGATCTGACTTCGGGAAGTGGGAGGGGGGGTTTTAAGTGTAAAAAATGGTTTATCTCGATTTCCGGCAAAACTACAAGTCCTATGGAAAAAAGTTAAATGGCAAAGTTGTAGGTAATAAAAGGATCTACAACTTTTGTAATTACAATTTTTTTACATAACCTCAAAATTTTTGTGAAAAATTAAAAAAAAAACAAGTTTTAAATAATATTATCTAAGATCTAAGGTAGGTACTACTACAGTATACTTCACTATATTGAATAAAACTATTTATTGATTTCAAGCTATTTTTATGCAAGATTTAAATCGAAATACCCCTATAAATACCCTATTTGGGTAAATACCCGGGTAAATACCTGGGTATTTTACATCACTAGGTCCAGCAAAATCTCACCACATTTCATTTTAAGGGGGGTCATTAAAAATCTCACGTCAACTTTTGAGTTTAAAAATATGTATTATACTTAAAATTTGTAAAAAAAAATTAAGAATTTTTTATAACATATCCGCAAAGAAAGTTTAATGGCAAAAATCTCACATGAGGGATTATCGATAATTTTGCTTGAAAGCATATTGCCTAAAAAATGCATGAGTTCATTTTCATATTTTGGACACTGAAGGTGGAGGGCTCTTTCCTCAAAATATGAAAATGACCAAATGCATTTTTTAAAAGGCAATATACTTGAATGCAAAATTATCTGATTATTTTTATACACGAGTGTAATTTGTTTAGATAATTACACAAATGAACTAATTAAATCATAATTTTTGTTCGCAGTATTTTTTGGTAGACTATTTTTCACATTTTCATTAATTGATTAAAATGATTCTTTATCAAAACGTGACATTTTAAATAATTGTCACATTAAAATAAAAACTGACGTTATTTTTATTAAATGCCATGGATATGTGGATACAATGGAATTATCGATTCCTAGTAGACAATTATCGCTGTAATCAAGCGATAATTGTCTTGTAGGCATATATAATAGGGTAATTATCGCTGTAATCAAGCGATAATTGTCTTGTAGGCATATATAAGACGGCAAAATTGCAAGGGCCAAAGACTAAAAGGATTTAAAGTTTAATGTACATCTTTCTGTTGCATTTATGCTGTATTTTTTCATCACAACTATGCACCTTTTAAAATTTTAAGTTGTATTCATAAAAAAACGACACTAAACCTTGAACAACTACCAAAAAACATCTTGAAGCCACAAATTTGTTTACTTCTCCAGTGTTGTATGGTCTAAGATGGTGTCCCAAAAATTATGCATAAAGGAAACCATTATTTAAGTATAAATTTAAAAATTAGGAATCCATCACTTATACCTTTTTATGCTACAATTTAGGCATAAGCTACACTCATATTAAACAGCCAGGGCTTGTTGGTGGTCATTCTGCTACTTAACTAACTTTTAAAATACAATGTCATAACTTTAAGTGAATAATCTTTTGTCAAGTTCCTGGATTGCATATCAAACTGAAATTTTAAAGCAATTTTTAGCTTTTGACGTAATTGCTGTGATCTTAACTTTGAATGGCTGCTAGATGCCTTGTCTATTTTGTTTCCATGATATACAGGAAAGTAAGAAGACAGCTTTGACAAGTTTTTTAAACATAAATGCTTATCAGAATAGTTATTTTCCTAACAAGTGCGCAAAGTTACATTTTTCCGCACGCTATAGCGCGCTAAAAAATCTTGGCTCAAAATTTTATTAACCGTTTTCTGCCCTCGTCTGAATTTTATGATTTTTATATTTAGGATAGCTCTGGGGCAGGGGAAGGAATAAAAATTTTTTTTTTTTCACCAAAATATTTATTTTTATCATACACAAGTTTTCTATATACTGGCGTTTTAAATTTTAAAAATATTCATATTTCGCTCCACCCTAATATACAGTGTGTTTAATTTTGATTGGCGACAATTCGGTATTTATTTAAAAATAGACCGATTTAAAAAAATGTCAAATGTCTTTTGCCTGGCCCTCTTTGATTAACAAAAACGGCAAAAGTTATTGGGCATTTTTAACAATGTTTTTGGAAAATCTTTGCTAGAACTTGGTCAGTAGCTTTTTGGTTTCCCAATAAATATACATACTACTACTTTTTGCTTTTATTTATACAGAGTGCTTGATAAAATTGATTTTTTTTCCAAATTTTACCTAGCTTTTGTGTATAAAATTTTATTACAAAATTATCGTTTTAGGGATTTTTAGGTATGCCCAAATTTAGAAAGGCTATCTGTTTTTAAATTTAAAAAATGCCCAAGAACTTTGAAGTTTTTGTTTATTAATGGAAATCTAAATATTTTTAAACAAATACTGAATTGTCATAATGTATTTGTATACTGGCAGATCCATTACTTTTCCACGAAACTTGGATCAGGGATTTGGTTCATAATGTTTTACATGAAAGTAAATCCTAAAAAACTGGGTTCACCAAGTCTCAGCCCAATAAAAGCACATATGGCTTCAGAATATTTTTTTTAATAAAAAAATAGCGATTTTTAGACAGTTTATTTCTCGGAGCCTATTTAACCGATTGGCCTTAACTTGGTTCATTGTTTATATCAAAGGTTAAATCGTACGCACCTTTGCAGGAGACGATTTTAACTGATCCGTTAATTTCATTAAATTTGACCTATATTTAACCCGTATCTGGTGAGGTCACTTTTTTGTTACATAACTGGTGGAGTGGTTGTCAAAACCCAAACAAAAACGGCGATTCTGCGAAATCAAAATAAAATAGCGCGTATGTTATTCACTTTTAGGTAACCTTAATTGATTATAATAAATAAATAAAAAACAAAAAACTTTGGCAGTAATTAAATGTTACTGTAGGGCTCCACAAAACTCACTTCAAAACTTATTTTTAATTGCAATAAGTAATCAAACTGAAAATATAGAATAAAAAAACTACAAAAAAGCGAAGCACGTTTCTAAAATTCGTTGAAAAACATACAAACGAACAAAGTTTTAACAAAATCGTATTTCTAGTAAATTCTAGTTAAAAAAAACTAGTGAGGTGGGCAAACCCCAATTCGTACAAAAATCGTAATATCGTACACGAAGTAGTAGAGTACTGACGGACAATTGACCGAAAGCTACACAGGGGGTAGCGAGCCTCGCACCATTATTTTATACGTGGTAAAGATTCTTAGAATGAGTGGGGTTTGTGAAACCTCAACTCACCAGTTAATGGTTAAAGTGATGCTATTTGAATAAACATTTTAAATTAAAATAAAGTATAGACTCCTTTTCTTTGGCTTAAATTAAAGTTTTAAAATTAACAAAAAGTTTTATTTAAAAAAAATGGCGGTTTTTAAATAGCTTTAACTTTTTTCTTTAAACTTTGCTTGAAATTCAAAAAATGCGACCAAGTTGAAGTCAATCGGTTAAATAGCCTCTGAGAAATGAATTAAAAAAAATTGTATAAAAATGTTATCTTTTTTGTAATCAGTAACTGGGTAATTGTTGTGTTTTTTGAAGGAATGATGATTATTATTAACATATAGCTGATCCTGCTTAATTAATAAATTATTAATAATAATATTAACGCAAATAAATGGCAAAGATCACTAACAGGGGACTTTTCTTAAAATTAAATTAAATTTAATATACACCCTGCATATTATATTATTATATTATACCCTATCCCATACAAGTATAAAAGGAAATACGAAAAAAGGTTTAAAAATTGAATTTTATTTTTAAGTTTTGAGGCTACATATTTATAATTTTGTCATACTAGTTCAATATTGTGTTTTTATTGCTTAGTTACTGACTACATAATAGTTTACTTTATCCCATGTAGTTAATTATTGCGTTTTTATGGCTTAGTTACCAACTACATAGTAGTGTACTTATCCCGTGCGGTCATAAAGAAAATATGAAATTAAAATATGTAAATTATTTAAAATATCTACTTAACATTATTTAGTCATAGTGTCTACTATGATAAACTGAAAATGTTGTTAAAATCAAATTGAATTTTTGATTTTTTTTAAAATATTTCTATTGTGGATGCAATAACAAACTAGTAGGACGTAACAGTTTGTTGCATACAAACTGTTACAGGTATTAATAGATGCCAGAGGCCCTTGGGTTTGTAAGACCGTCGCCCTTGGGGCACTTGATACACAAATAACTATTTTAAAAAGTTTACTTTTTGACCATTCGTTGTAGATGCGTTCTATATTTTGTTTGGTGTACGCCTATAAATAAAAATTATAGCGCGGGGAAATTAAATTTTTAATTTTAATGTATTCCTATTCAACAATTTGTTATATATTCAAATTTGAAATGCATTGCTTTGTTTAATTTTAGGAACGTGTTGGCAGACGTTGTGGCGGTCTCAGAGTTCTCAACTCTTACTGGGTAGCCCAAGACTCTTCATACAAATATTTTGAAATCATCTTGGTCGACCCATCCCACAACGCTATCCGTCGTGATCCCAAGATCAACTGGATCGTGAGCGCCGTACAGAAGCACCGTGAATTGCGCGGTCTTACCTCAGCCGGCAAGTCCTCCAGAGGCTTGGGCAAGGGACACAGGTACTCGCAGACCAAGGGCGGTTCCAGAAGGGCCGCTTGGCTTAGAAGGAACTCCCTGCAATTGCGCAGAAAGCGATAAGTTATATATATTTTACGTTTTGATAAACAATAAACAGCTTAAAAGGTCAAAAGAGTTTTATTTTATTTGATTGTTGGCCCTTTCGAAGTTGTACTTGACACTATTTTGTCATGTATAATCAAAGTGAGGCCTAAATTAAAGTTCTGCAATGGTCACTGGTTAGTTTTTTTTAAATATCTATCACAGTATTACCCAAGCAGAATACATCGTTGATAATAGTATAATTATAATTTATATATTTTATGTTTTGATAAACAATAAACAGCTTAAAAAGGTTAAAAGAGTTTTATTTTACTTGATTTCTTGTTGGCCCTTTCGAAGTTGTACTTGACACTATTTTGTCATGTATAATCAAAGTGAGGCCTAAATTAAAGTTCTGCAATGGTCACTTGTTAGTTTTTTTTAAATATCTATCACAGTATTACCCAAGCAGAATACATCGTTGATAATAGTATAATTATAATTTATATATTTTATGTTTTGATAAACAATAAACAGCTTAAAAAGGTTAAAAGAGTTTTATTTTACTTGATTTCTCATTGGCCCTTTCGAAGTTGTACTATTTACTATTTACACTATTTTGTCATATATTATCACGAGAACTATGAATTTAATTGGTTAAACTAGGCTCAGTAGTTTTTTGTTTGGTTTTTGTTGGAAAATGTTGAATGCAAAATAATTTAATAAAATCACGAGACCGCGTAGCGGTCGAGGGGTTTTATTTTTAATTATTTTGCATGAAACTATTTTCCAAAAAGAAAAATCAAATAAAAAACTTACTGATATGAGCATAGTTTGACAGATTAAATTTATAGGTTGAGTGATATACGTCTAGATTATTTCTCGAATTAAAGGAAACTATTTGACAATTAATAAAATCTGACGTATGTGTCAACATTTATAAATATTTTTTTAAAGAAAATTCCATTAATTTAAGGTATGTAATAAGTAGTAATTGATATTTCGTAAACTAGATAACTTATTTTAGTTTTGTTTTTCAAAAAATGTTTGTTAAACTTGTAAATAACACCATAAAATCGCAAACAAAAATCCAATATGGAGGCTAAAATTAAATAACTGTTAAATAGTTCTAGTGATTTAATCGCTTATTTAATAGTTATTTATGTATTAAGGGCATAATAAGGTTTTTATGGTCCGAGGCGCTATTTCGAGCCCGAGCGCGTTAGCGCGAGGGCTAGAAAAGCGTCGTAGGACCATAAAAACCAGTTATGCCAGCAATGCATACAAAACTTTATGCACGATTAATATATTATTATTTTTAATATAATATTGTTTTTAAAGATGTTTACGTCAAAGAATTTTTGTTATAATTGTCATATTATAATGTCAACTGATATCATTCAGTTTTAAAGTTTAAAGATGAATGAAATTGAGGAAGCAGCTGAAAAGGCGAAAAATTGCGGCCTGCTGCCGGAAAAATCAAAATCTTTATACGAAAAAACTTACTTTGAATATATCAAATGGTGTAACATTGTTGTTTTTAATTTTTGACGTTTCATTATAGCCCGCTGGGTCATAATAACGCCCGCGGGCTATAAAAAGACGTTTACGTCTAAGAATTTTTGTTATAATTGTCATATTATAATGTCATCGTGCATAAACGAAATTTATTCGAAAATTCAAGGCTTTTGATTGGTTCATATTATAATGAGGGAAATAATCATGTATAATCAAAGTGAGGCCTAAATTAAAGTTCTGCAATGGTCACTTGTTAGTTTTTTTAAATATATTTATCACAGCTGTGCACATTCATGAATACTAGCTAGTATTACCCAAGCAGAATACATCGTTAATAATATTATAATTTTAAAAAAAAATTTATACACCAAATTAATAAAAAATCATAAAAAGAACTCTTTTATTAATTGCAATAGCATTTTACAAGCAATTGGTAAGTATGTTCTTTAGATACCACCCTGTTGAAAAAACAGGCATGGGAAGAAAACCAAGGTGGTTTTATGTCTGGTTATGGCATGCCTTTGCCTGCCATCGGATTTTACCTGCAAATATATATATATATATATATCCGCAAACGTCCGGCATTGACTTAATGATACTTGCACCCGCACGTTGTTGTTTTCAACTTAAAAAATATATAATCTTCCAAACATTTTTTTTAAATAGTAATAGCTTTACTTTGCAAGAAAAAGTAAAATCGCGTATGTAGCCGTTGTGGAGACCCGGACAACAATCGGGATTTCCTGGTGAAGTCATATCACAACGTGATTTTTATTTATCGCTTTGATATCCTGAGTGCATATATATATATATATACAGGGTGTTTACGGTCTAGGGGTCGAAAATTGAACCGGCGGTGTAAGGTAATAAAGTAATGGTAGATTTGTTGGAATTTTGAAAAAAAAATCAATTATAAAAAAGTTATTAAAATTTAAATTTATTCAAAGTTTTGATACAACTTTTGAGGGTCATTGGTTTGATACGGGTGGAGACTTAAATAAAAAAACTGACAACAAAACGTTTCTTAAACAATAAAGAGTAATGTCATGGATTTGAATACTTCAAAAAAAACTTTCTAATTCCGTCAAAAAACTGAATTAATTTTGCAATGGCTCATGTTTATTCTAATAACGAATTAGTGGATATGATAATGGTGTACGGGGAAGCACAAGGTAATGCTGAAGAAGCAAGTCGAATTTACGCTAATAAATTCCCAAATCGCTTTCACCCCGCGCCTCGGAGATTTTTTAACGTAACGCAGCGAGCCCGCGATACCGGGGAGCTCCAACCCCATTATGGTCGTGATGGGGGCCCTGATAGGTTGCAAAGAATTTTGACCGCAGAGGAACAAGTACTGCAACTGGTAGCAGAGGACCCATCACGAAGCACTAGGAGCATTGGTCGTCAGTTACGAGTATCAAATAGGGTAGTTTGGCGCACCCTCAATGAAGACCTGCAGCACCCTTATCACTTTCAAAGAGTGCAGGCTTTAAATCCTGACGACCCCGAAAGGAGAATCGAGTTCTGCCAGTGGATTCTCCAACAAAATGAGGCTAATCCTAATTTTGTTGACGAAATTTTGTTCACTGACGAATGTACATTTACCAGAAATGGTATTTTTAATTTTCATAATTACCACCAATGGTCCGCAGAGAACCCTCATGCCATCAGACGTACCAATTTTCAGCAAAGATTTTCCATTAATTTTTGGGGTGGAATAGTAAATGGATGCCTGCTAGGCCTCTATGAACTCCCACAAAGAATGAACGGCCTCGAATACCTGAATTTCCTCCAACATGGCTTAGAACCGCTTGTGGATGACGTCGTACCTCTGGCAATCCGGCAAAGAATGTTTTTCATGCATGACGGTGCTCCATGTCACTACCTCGAAGCAGTCCGTGCGTTTTTGGAGCACGCCCTTGTGGAAATTTTTCTCTGAGAAAGTCTTACTTTCTCTGAAAAAGTCTGAATAATACTTATTAAGTCGGAAAAAGTCAGAATAAGACTTATTAAGTCGGAAAAAGTCTGAATAAGTCTTATTAAGTCAGACTAATAGCAAGATTTGGGAGTCTTCTGGAAGAGTTAATAAGACTTTTTAAGACTTAATAAGACTTTTAGTAGAGAAATGGTAGGTACCTACGGAGATAAAAATAAATATCCGAAATAATTCATAGAGGTTGTATTTGGTTATCGTAAAATAAAACACATAGAAAAGTATTTATTAACATTTTTGCTGTTGTTATAAGCCAAGTTTATTGCATAATTACATATATAATAACATAGGTAAGATGTAATAATTAGGTATAACAATTATAATTTTATACATACGATGCGCTTGACATGCATGCTTCCACTATAGAAAAAGGAGTTGCCACTGTACGTTTTATTTTAATAGTTTATTTTGATACACGCAAATATTTACCTATCTAAACATTGTTACAAACAATAGACGTAAGACGTAATATCGAGAGACCAGCTTAGCTAGCTGACCAATTAGAGCACAGCTGACCTGTCGTGGGACACAGTGTTGCCGTTTGCAAGTATTTTACTCGAAAATCGGGTATTTTCATAATATTCGCGGGTGATTTGCAAATTTCTATCAAAATAATAATAAAATAAATTTTCAGTAAATAGTATTGTATATTTACTAAATATGCACAATTATTTTATTCTATCTTGTTACATTTTTATTATTATTTTAGTATTTTGTAATTTATGGTCAGGAACTTTTATGGCAACACTGTACGTAAACACGAAGATCAACCATGATACAAAGATGAATGAAACACGAAGATCAACCATATTTGTCTTATGAGTCTATCGAAAATATCATGTCTATAGACTTAATATCAATTAATATTAACTCCTTTTTCTATGTTGGAAACAATGAAAGCATGTTAAGCGCATCGTATGTATAAAATTATAATTGTTATAATTATTACACCTTACCTATGTTATTATATAGGTAATTATGCAATAAACTTGGCTTATAACAACAGCAAAAATGTTAATAAATACTTGTCTATGTGTTTTATTTTACGATAACCAAATACAACCTCTATGAATTATTTCGGATATTTATTTTTATCGCCATAGGTACCTACCATTTCTCTACTAAAAGTCTTATTAAGTCTTAAAAAGTCTTATTAACTCTTCCAGAAGACTCCCAAATCTTGCTATTAGTCTGACTTAATAAGACTTATTCAGACTTTTTCCGACTTAATAAGTCTTATTCTGACTTTTTCCGACTTAATAAGTATTATTCAGACTTTTTCAGAGAAAGTAAGACTTTCTCAGAGAAAAATTTCCACAAGGGCGAGTTTCCGTATCGTTGGATTGGGCGTGGGGGACCAATTGCTTGGCCACCAAGAAGCCCTGATTTAAATCCGATGGATTTTTATGTATGGGGCTTTCTAAAAAACTTAATCTATCGGCCAGGATTGCCAGAGGTGCAAGACGTCAATGAGCTTCGTCAAAGGGTCCACGAGGCTACAGAACAGTTACGAGAAGGTGGTGCTATGAGGCAAGCTTGCCAATCGCTGTTGAGACGCGCACGACTGTGCTTAAA